GTATCCTGTATAAGCTGACCTAGACTGTATTTGTCATGATAGAAACAATGACGTCATACTAGAGGACTAGAGTCATATCCTGTATAAGCTGACCTAGACTGTATTTGTCATGATAGAAACAATGACGACAGTGTTCAGTTTTTTCTATTCCATTTTTTATTCTCTTGTTTCCTGAATTATGCTACACAGTACTGACTGAATTATTAATAGGTGTGCAATACAAGAGACTACACAAATTCAAACAGTCCTTAATGAAGGGCTTCTGAGTTATTAATAAAAGATTTTCAGCTCCTGTACTAGGTTCATTTATAAATAAAAAACCTGATCACAGAATTGAGAAATTTAGACAAAAAACACACAGACCATAGGAGAGGATTCAGATCTTTGAGATGAGAGGTGCCAAAAAGCCAAAGACTTTGGTGCCTAAATTCAAGACTTTTTTTTTTTAATCAAAGTAAATTCTCCATAAATTTATCATACAGCACTCAAACATGTCAACATAAACTTCCAGTTCCAGAGCTGGAGAGATGTCTTGGTGGTTGAGCACTGGCTGCTCTTCCAGAGGTCCTGAGTTCAATTCCCAGCAACCACATGGTGGCTCACCACCATCTGTATTGAGATTTGGTGCCCTCTTCTGGCCTGCAGGCATACATGCAGGCAGAACACTGTATATATAATATATAAATAAACCTTTAAAAAACAAAACAAAACCCCCCCAAAACCCTTCCACTTCCTAGGAAGGGGTCAACAGTATTCAGTGGGGCACAAAATTGCCATTGAAACTCTTATGTCTTTATAAGGAAGTGAATCTAGTTTACCTAGTCACTAGTCAACAGAAGGCCACTTACTGACTAGACTCCACTGGGAGTCAGGACCAAATAACAGTGCATAAGTTCAACTGATGATGAAGTCGAACTTAAAATATTAGACCTGAAGGAGGTTGGAAAAGTCTTCTCATCTACATCTCCCATTTTCCAGAATAAGGTTTTGATTCCTGAAAGGGAAGAAGGGGCTCATAATTCAGAGTAAGGGAGGGATTAGAACGTTGATCTTTAGGTCTCAGCATATGATACTTTCTCACGTGCTTCTAAAACATTTGCCTGAATGCAGTGTACACAACCCCACTGTTAACTGATGTGGTACTTTCCAGAAGAAGACACTGACACATACACTCAGATCTTCTCTTTACACCACTGAACTGTACAGACTTTCAGAGGCACAGCACATGGGCCAAGGAAACATTACCTGAGAATATCATAACTGGCAAAGTCCCACTGGTACAGACCAAGCGCTGAACTACAGACAATGTATTTTCCATCAAAATGAAGTCTTGGCTGCAGGCAGATACTTCTATCCTCAGAGACGGACAAAGTCTTTAAGCACTTACAGTTGATTTCTCTCCCAATTGGCCAAATCTACCAAAAAAGAAAAAAAGGGGGAAGATGATTGATCTTATTAATAAAGAAAAGCTAGAATTTATATAACATGGCTCAAAGAAAAAAAAAAGTGGCACCTGCTAACAGACACAAAGAAAATACAGGGTCAAGACTCTTGTTTTAGTCAAGAGTTACAAAGTTTAAGTCCTGATTTTCTGTGATTTTAGGTCAGAAGTTAACCTCTCTGAATGAAGATAATGCCTACTACAAAGGTGGTTTAAAAATGCAAGGAAATGGAGTGTCAGCTGGGCAGTGGTGATGCACACCTTTAATCCCAATACTTAGGAAGCAGAGGCAGGCGGGTCTCTGAGTTCGAGGCCAGCCTGGTCCACAGAGTAAGTACCAGGACAGTCAGGGCTGCATAGATACCCTGTCTCAAAAAACATGTGTCTTGTAAATATTTGGTAAATTGTTAAATAAATCAGTGTTTCTTTTTGTAGTTTAGATCTAAGAGAAAAGATCTTAGTGCTTAGAGTGCTGAGGCAGGATTGCAAGTTTGAGGTCAGTCTGGGCTACATGACTGAGCCTCTCAAAATACAAAAATCAAACAAAAACCACTAAGTATGTGGAAAACAATTTTTAGTGCTTTCTCCTTTGTGTGTACACTCATCAGTGTGCGTAACACAGGTGTGAGTTCATGCAGAAGCCAGGAGTTGATGTTGGTGTCATCCTCAATCACTTTACACCCTATTTTTGAGATAGGGTGTCTCACAGAACTGCAGTGCATCAATTTGGCTTAATGAGCAAGTCCCAGGGATCCCTCCACTCCCCACTCCCAAGACAGGGTCTCTCTGTGTAGTCCTGGGTGACTGGAACTCACTCTGTAGACCAGGCTGGCCTTGAACTCACAGAGATTCGCCTGCCTCTGCCTTCCCAGTGCTGTGACTAAAGGTGTGTGCCACCATGCCTAGCTTTTGTCATACCTTTTTAGTTTTCCTTATATGCTATTTTTTTTCCCCTTTGATGAGATAAATTACAGAGGGAGAAGACTTACCTTAATCTCATATTTGTCTGCACTTAAGAGGATGTAGTCTCCAGGGCTGTGCAAGACAGACTTGACTTTACACTTCTGCAAAACCACCTATAAGCATAAGCATCTATATTATACAGAGAACTTACCACCCTGTCCCTATGCTAATTTTATATTGTTTTTAAATTAAAATATGAAAATGAGCTTGAGGGGCTGGAGAGGTGGTTCCGTGGTGAAGAGCACTGATTGTTCTCCCAGAAGTCATAAGTTCAGTTCCCAGCCACCACATGGTGGCTCACAACCACTTGTAATAAGATCTGGTGCCAACTTCTGGCCTGCAGGAACACATGCAGGCAGAACATTGTATACATAATAAATAAATAAATCTTTAAAATAAGAAAATGAGCTTGATATGCTATGCTAGAAAATATGATGTGGAACTCATTATTAGGTTAATTCTTAACATTTTTACTACAAACAGATTCTGTTACTGGCTGTATCTCAATGTCTAGTGTTGGAAGCACTTACTCCTATTCTTTTTAAATTAGGAAGTGCTAACATCAGGATTAATTTTTAAATTGTAAAGTGCACATTTGGGATGTAGCTCAGTGGTAAATTGCATGCCTATCAAACACAAGGCTCCAATTTGACCCTCGATATTGCATTCTCTTGCGTACACACACACACACACACACACACACCCCGCAGGTAACTTAAACGTTAAGGAGCCAAGTGAGGTAGTGCATGCCCTTGATCCCAGCACACGGAAGGCAGAAACATGCAGATCTCTGTGAAAACAAGGCCAGCATGGTCTATATAGTGAGTCCATATCAACCAGGGCTACCTAAAACGACTCAGCTCTTATAAATAAATAAATAAATGGATGAACGAATGAATAAATAAATAAACAAACAAATAAATAAGGAACATGAATTGCACACAGATGTAGACAGATATGATCTGTTTTCAGAAGCATATGCACCACAAAGGAAAAGCACCAGGCTCAGACTAAGACCCTGCAATCTGTCACAGAGATCTGCTAACCATGGCCCTGGAGAAAACAGAGCAGCCCGTGTGCTGTTCCTTAGTGCTGGAGACTGAACCCAGAGCCTCCTACATGCTAAGTGAGCTGCTACCAATGTGCTATACCAGACTTACTGTTTCTCAGTTACTCATTTTTTAGATAAAATACCTATGACTTTACTTCATATAAATGGCAATGAAGATGAAATAGAACCATACAAATAATAGTAACAGGAAAAGGCAAAGTTCTACAGCACATGGGGGTCACCTGCTATTGTTAGGCCCTAGGAATCTTTAAATAGACCAGCAGAACCATTCAGAAGCCTGAGATAGAGGAGCAGTGAGACCTGAAGATCTGTTAGCACACATCAGGCATCTCTGCTCAATGCTGCCCCAACATCTAACTAATGTGCATAAGAATTTAGCAAATGACAGAGTCCAAGTAATAAAGGGAGGAGGAACTTGTCCACATCATAGGCATCATCCTGAGCCCACACCTATGGTTCAGGTTCACTTAGGGTTGCCTATGACATATAACTTTCCTGTTTGGTAAGTGAATGTGTCCAGTGGTTACCTATCTTCTCACAAACTTCCCTATCTTTACTTTTACCTAGTCAGGGAAAATTTTAGATTACCCACCCAATATAAAAACCTGGCAGGCATTTCTGAGTCTCTCTTCTTTCTAACCTACAATGAATAACTAACTGTAGGTGACTTTATATTAAAGGTAGATCCTTCATGCCATTACATCTTTTGCTTAGACTAAACCCAACTAGGCATCTCGTAGCCATGTTTATGTATCAGCTTTCCACATTCAAATTGTTTCTTATACATAAATCAAAGCAGACCTTAAATCATAACTTTCAATAGCTTTCTCAATACACTTCTGCTATCTACCAACCTTACTCTGGTCCACAACCTCTTCATGAGGCCAGCTCTCGCCTCTACAGCATGGCTGCACTGGCCTTCTTCAGGTGCTTTCCTGGCCCTGAACACACGCATATGTAAACCATACCCTGCTCTTTACACAGCTATTGCCTAGCCACCTTTTGGTCTGTCTCAAAAAGCTTTTCCTAATTACTTCCTAGATTTTCTTATACTGCACTACACTTCTCCTTCACAGAACTAATTTGCAATTAAACATTACTTTTTGTGAATTTGCTACATAGTAACCATTTCTTTTTAAAAAAATATTTATTTATTATGTATGCAATATTCTGTTTGTGTGTATGCCTGCAGGCCAGAAGAGGGCACCAGACCTCATTACGGATGGTTGTGAGCCACCACGTGGTTGCTGGGAATTGAACCAGGACCTTTGGAAGAGCAGGCAATACTCTTAACCTCTGAGCCATCTCTCCAGCCCCCATAGTAACCATTTCTATTACATTAAAATCCATCAGATCGGACCAAGGTTTATTTTGTTTACTCCTACATCCTCAGCCTCTTGGAAAAGAGTATAATAAGCTCAAGAAATGTGTCTGCACAACAAGTATACCATTAATATTGCATTCGAAACAATTTTATTTTGAAAATGAGAACACAATATTCTGTTAAAAACTCATTTTTCTTCTTTTATTCTCCCTATATTTTTGTCATAATGGTGCTTGATCATAGGATCTTGTACATGGTTCTACCATTGAGCAACACCCAGCTCCTCCCAATCTCACATTTTACAAGCACTGCACTTTTTTGTTGTTGGGGATGGTGTTTGAGATAGGGTTTCTCTGTGTTGCCCTGGCTGTTCTGACACTCTCTCTGTAAACTAGGCTGGCCACAAGCTCAGAGATCTGCCTGCCTGTGCCTCCTGAGTGCTGGGATTAAAGGTATGTGCTACTACTATCCTAACACTTTTCAAAATCAGAATTACAGTTCTGAATCAAGGAAGGTATCTTAACCACCATGCTCTGTGAGTTCATTTATTCTGCCATGATTCATCTACAATATATACAAGGTCTATCATCCTCCATTCCCCACCAGTGAGGAGCCAGATACAAAGGACATCCCCTGGTCTTCCTACCTTGGTGACCCATTCAGTATGTCCAGTGAGTGTGTTCAAGCATGTCCCAGCAGATAAAGCCCATACTTTCACAGCGAAGTCCGCAGAGCCACTCACCAAAATATCCAGTTCATCACTGTAGTCCACACTGAACACTAGTGCACACAACACAGTCAGAGTGAAAACACTTCACTGTCAACGGGTCTTTGTAAAAACAATAACATTTATTCTTCTAACTCTCCAAATAGGTAACTTCCTAACCAGAGCACTTTAAGAATTGAGCTATTCAACCAGTAGCTTTAAGATACAAAGAAAATCTATTTCAAAACTGTTATTATTGTAGTTTATCCTAAGGATGAGAAAGCCTGCAACTAACATACTCTTTTCTGTTTGTGTCAGCTTCAGTGTGATGGAAATGATGGCAACCCTTTTTAGGGTTTAAAGGAAAACACCAGCACAGGCAGCCCTTTTAAGATCCACAATGTGGTGAGTAGAGGGATGGCTCAAAGGTCTGTTCTTCTGGAGGTCATGAGTTCAGTTCCCAGCAACCACTTTGTGGCTTACAACCATCCATGTATTCCGGTGCATTGCAGGCATACATGCAGGTAGAACTCTCTATGTATAATAAAAAGGTAAATCTTAAAAAAAAAAAAATCTGCAGTGTGAAGAAAATAAGCTGCAGAACACTTGGGCTCCAGAAAGGCCAGGGCAGAGAGAAACAAGGATCTCAAAGGTCAGACTTGGTCAACAGCTTCTAAATTTCTTCAGGTTGTACACCTAGCAACCACATTAGTTCAGGACATGCAGTGAATATTCAGTATTTTCAGTTTTTTTTTTTTTTAAGACAGGGTTTCTCAGTAGCAATGGAGCCAGTCCTGGAACTCACTCTGTAGACCAGGCTGGCATCAAATTCACAGAGATCCACCTGTCTCAGCCTACTGAGTGCTGGGATTAAAGGCATGTGCCACTACTGCCCAGCTTCAGTATTTGTTTTTAAATGTCTACTAAACTCAAAAGGACATTGGTAACTGGCCCTTCCTTCAAGAAACTGTGAGAGACAAGTTGTTTTTTTCAAGAGGTTAACTCTTGCTAGAGCAACACTGGAGATGATGACTACTCATCAGAGAGAGGACTTCCGAAAATGAAATATTGGAGATGGGACAAGAAGAATGCATATAGCGTATTAAGAAAATAAGCAACACTCCAGGCAAAGGGGATTAACAGCCACAGCAGTGTCAAGAAATAGAAGAACATTTTTAGAGCAGGACCTCCAAAACTGGTAAGGAATGAAATTGCTAGAAGCTGTGGTATCCATATGCTGTGTAGTATCACTCTGTTTAATGGATGAGATCCATATTAAACCATAGACTTCTTATTTGTTTGTTTTTTGAGACAGTGTTTCACTGTGTAGCCCTGACTGGCCCAAAGCACAGAGATCTGCCTGCCTCTTAAAGGTGTGTGCCATCACACCTAGCTATGGACCATTGACTTCTAAAACAAATAAATGAGAGTAGATTAATTTTTCTTTAAATATATAATATTGAAGAGAGTTGTTTAGTAGCAGAAGAGCTAGGTCTAAAGAAATAGTAGTATCAGGTACAACATAAGGCTATCAAAGTAAATAAGATAAGTCGAATCCCTGACCTATGGAGCTTAGAGTAGGAGGTAAGGTAGTCACTATGACTACGTGTGTAATAGGACATTCCAGAGTAGAGATTTCTTTCATGTTAGTCCCAGGATGTTGCTTGTTTTACTCACTTAGCAGCCAAGTACTAACTGGATGTACTCTGTGTAGATATAATCCATGAACTACTGCCCAAGGGTGTTTCAGCTTTGAATAAATAAACAAAGTGGTCTGAATATTTGGGTGTGCAGGATGGAAATCTACTAAGAGCAAATGTGAGCGACTGTGCAGGAAGAGAAATAATCTGGGAGAGAAGGACAACTATTCTTAGTACACGGGGTCATAAAAGAGAGTTTTGAAGGCTTAGAAAAAGCAAAATGTAGAAATCATTCCAAATGTAGGGAAATAGCTGCAGTAATAAAGAGAAAACCACAGATTAAAGCAAGCAAGAAAAAATAAAATACAAAGTATTTGACTCTTGATCTTAATAGGCATGGCTAAAGTAATTGTAAAGACCCTTGAAAAAGAATAACCCACCCGCCCCCGTGTGCCCCCGGAAATGCTGTGTCCTGGCTCCAGAACTCCATTCCCAGCAGGCCACGGTGTTGTCAAAGGAGCCTGTCACAAGCTTCTGTTCATCGAACTTCACAGCTGCACAAGTGTGGGTCTGGATGCCGTACACACACTGTCCTGTGCTTACATCCCACAGTTTTGCAGACAAGTCATCTGACCCTTGAAGAGAAAAACCAGGAAGGTTAGTGTGTCCTAGAAACCTTAAAGAAGGGCAGTCAGTCCTCTCTGGAGTGCTTCTGCTTTATGGCTAAGAAAACCAAAGCATGGACAAAATAATGTGATTTGTTGGGCTTCAAAATGGCATTAAATTTACTAGGACAGAAAGCAAGCTTATCTTTTCTCGTAATCTTCTGGGCTGTAGGTAGGATATTAGACTAAGGCACCTCTTTATGCTTCCATTTGCAACATTTCCTTTCTCTGGCTAGCAGAGCTTTCATATTAACTTTAGTGTTTGTCTTACCTATGGCTGCATCTTTACACTTGAATGCCTGTCCACTCACTGCCTAACAATCCTGAATAAATAAGGACTGTTGACTAGGAAAGCACAGTCCATTCAGAAAAGGGATAAAGATGAGCCTCAGGTCACTGGGTAACTTTTACATAAGCTAGCTGGCAATTTCTTGAGCCATCTGAAAGATGTCAAGGAACTTCAGTGAACACTAGGGATAAATCACCCTCAAACATTCATATCAACTCACAGACAGTTTAAATCTGGAGGGAAAAGTTGGTTTCATTTCTACCTGTAGGGAGTGGAGGAAGCCCTGAGTGTGTAAACTTCTAATGAATATGTAAGGTCTGTCAACTCCAAGACCAGTTGGCCCATGGTAAATTGGCAAAACAGTTAAACAGGCTAAAAGGGATGGCAAAGCTGTCCTTGGAAGTACAGTCTCTGATGAATGAATGGTACAGAGACTGAGAACTGCAGCTTCCTCCCCCCCCCAGCTGTTTACAGTCAGAGACTGGCTGCCTAAGACACCTCCTACTGAGACCAAGGAACCCTCCCACTGTGCTGTACCTAATAAACACCGAGGTTCTGGGTTACTGTGGTTGGAGAGCCCCACCCGATCCCAGCTTCACTGTATGTATGTGTTCTTTCTTCAGGGCTCCTAGCCCCAAGTCACACGGGACACAGCATGGCCTCTGAGGAAAAGTTATACTAATCATGATGGTAATTCAGGACTGAGTTTTCATTAAGTCTGCAATTCTAATTATTAAATTTTGTCTCAAATTTTACTTTTAGAGGCTCAACAAAAGACATTTTGAGAAACACTAAATACAGTTATTTTGACTAGGGCATTGTATTCTAGGAAAGCTCCAACAAGTTGGTTTTCAAAAACTGAAAAATGTTTAAACAAAACCAGCCACAAAATCCCCCACGGGCTGGAGAGATGGCTCCAAGGTTCAGAGCAAATTCCCAGCGCCCACATGATGGCTCACAACTATCTGTAACTCCAGTTCCAGGGGATTTGACACCTTTATCTGAGTTCTGAGGGCACTAAGCACACATGCGACATAAACATACACTCTACACATTAAAAAAAAATCCTAATGGAGGAAAATCCACCTTTAGTCAAGAGCCAGAGTTTGGAGGATGGCTAAATAACTATCACTTGTAAAAGACTGTGGGCAAGATTTCCATGTGGACAGACTCCAAGGACACTGAAATGAAGGCTGCCTTACTGTCTCTATTAGAGACAGTCTCTATTAGAGCTATTTAGGTCTCTGTTTGGTCTCCGTTTTCCTCTCTATAAAATGAGAGGCGGGGTTTGCGCCTTCTAGGATGGAGACTTTTGCTGGGAATTGAACTCAGAACCTCTGGAGGAGCAGCCAGTGCTCTTCACCTCTGAGTCATCTCTCTAGCCCCCCTAGGATGGAGACTTTTAAGATCACCAAGAGATCATTATTGGAATACACAGTGCACTGAGGTTCAAGGTTATGAGTTCTACCCCAACACCACAAAAAATTAAGAAATGAGCATACAAAGACAAATCCCACACAAAAAGGAAGCTAAAGCAGTCCAGTTTAGAGATGTGGGATTAAAAGGTTGTCAGGCAATTCTCTATCACCAGTAACACTCTTGAGAAGCAGAGGTCGTCAACAGCATAGCATGCCCAATAGAAACAGCATATAATTTTGTTTCCAATGGTTAACTTAAAAAATGAAGTGTATTTTATTTAATTCTGTTTGTCAAAAGTGTTAATACTTTAACATGTAACAAGGTATCAAAAGGACACACTTTGTTCTTTTACATTCCAAGTCTTTTAATTCTGGTATTTCCCATTTTAAGGGCTGGGGAGCTGGCTCAGTGGTTTTCTCACTCAATCCAGGTTACCACAGGCTGAACATGACCTAGCCACAATATTCTAAAATCCAGATAAAGATTAATACTGAAAAATAATAAGCACATTTCACAAAAATCTAGATTTGAAGCTTCTCCGGCACAGTCCTCAGGAGACTTTCACCTACATTAAGTCATCTTCCTGATGGAGCATGTGTACCCTCTGAGCAAAGGAACTGCCCTGCTTCTCCCGCATGGCTCTCACATTGTTGTCTAATGGCACACATTTCATAAATAAGTAGCTATTAATGTCGCAAAGTACACTAGGTTCCTCTCTCATCATTTCAGAAATAAACTGCAGAAAAGAGGGAGAATCATCTCCCGCAGACCAGGCCAATCATTAGCAGTGGCCATCACTCTCTTTGGTAATGCTATTTCACTACCAAGTTCAGGATCCCACTATTCACCCAAGTGAAAATTAAAGTTCTTGAGAAACAAATTATGGGCTGCAGAGAGCTCTTCCAGAGGTCCTGAGTTCAATTCCCAGCAACCACATGGTGGCTCACAACCATCAATAATGAGATCTGGTGCCTTGGCCTGCAGGCAGAACACTCTATACATAATAAATGAATAAAATCTTTTTAAAAAGAAACAAATAAGGAAGTGAGGGGTGGGACAGGGAGCTCAGGGGATCTGATACCTATTTTTGGCCTCCCCAGCCCCCACCCCCACAAATAAACATAAAAATTCTTTTTTATTTTTGGTCTGACTTAGTATGCCTGGGACATACCAAACAAGCCCTTTCTGTTTGTTGTCTGTTTTCAAGACAGCGTGTCTCTGAGTACCCCTGGCTGTCCTGGAACTTGCTCTGTAGACCACACTGGCCTTGAACTCAGAGATTGCCTGCCTCTGCCTCTGGGATTTACAGGCACGTGCCACCACCTCCTGGCAAAAATAATAATTCTTAAAAAGAGACACAATAACACATCTATAATTTTCTAAGTTATTTCTCTTACCTGTGAAGTCTCAAGCATGCTGCCATTAGAAATTTTAGCTAACACTTTAGATCAATTTCAAAAGCATGATGTAATTTTTAAATGCAAAACTGGTGAATTATAATAAAAATAATATATACCCATTTAGAAACCAATCTTTTTTTTAATCACTGAGCCATCTCTCCAGTCCTCCTCTTGTATACAGTATTCTGTCTGCATGTTATGTCTGCAGGTCAGAAGAGGGCACCAGATCTCATTATAGATGGTTGTGAGCTACCACCATGTGCTTGGTTGCTGGGGACTGAACTCTAGACCTCTGCAAAAGTAGTCAGTGTTCTTAACCTTTGAGCCATTTCTCCAGCCCCTAAAAACTAATCTTAAAATACAGGGTTTGGGAGCTGAACGTGGTTTAGTGGTGGAATACAGGCCTAGCATGCACAGAGCCTGGATTTCTAATCGCCAGCACTGAAAACAAACAAAAATACAGATTTGGGTCCACTAGCAAATATTAACAAGTAGCTAGAGGATTTGAGGATTACTTCCCATTTACTTTTTCAACAAATAAATGAGTTTTCCCCCCTTTTTCTTACATGTATGGGTGTGTATGTGTATGTATGTTTGCACGTGGAGACCTTGGGACAATGTCCAGAATCTTTCTCTACCACTCCCCATCTTTATTCCTTATGAGGCAGAGTCTCTCAGTCAAACCTAGGGCTTACCATATGACTAGTGAATGCCAGTAATCCCCAAACTCAGAAAGAATATCGCTACAAGTTGGAGGTCAGCTATATTATGTACTAAGCTTCAGGACAGCATAGGCTAAAATATCAAGACCTAGCTTAAAAATAGCACATACATGCACGCACACTCTCACAGAGTAACATTTTTTAAAGTTAGAGTCAAGGCTTGAGATGGCTTATCAGTTAGCACTGGCCGTTCTTGCAGAGAACATGAGATCTATTCCTAGCACCCAGATGGTGGCTTACAAACTATCAATAACTCTAGTTCCAGGGGAATCGATGCCCTCTTCTGGCCTCTACCAAGCATGCACATAAGTACACATAGGCAAAACGCCCATAAAATAAAAAAAGAAAGGCTGGGAGATCTCTGTGAGTTTGAGGCCAATCTAGTAGACATAGCAAGTTCCAGACAGTCAGGGGTACTCAGAGAGATCATGTCTTGAAAAACCAAAAAAGAAAGAAATGGGATTGTGAAGACAGTGAGCCCACTGCCAGTATTTAAGTGTGGAACGCCAAGTCAATACCATAGCTTTTTTTTCTTTTTTTCAAGACAGGGTTTCTCTGGAGCCTGTCCTGGAACTTACTCTGTAGACCAGATTGGCCTTGAACTCACAAAGAGCCACCTACTTTTGCCTCCCAAGTGCTGGGATTAAAGGTGTGTGCCACCACTGCCTGGCTTCAATACCATATCTTAATTAAAAAAAAAAAAAAAAGGCTACAGCCTTTATACAACTGGAAAGCATTACAACTACAAAGGACATCAAAGCACAGAAAAATGGATGATTATGTTCTAATTACAGGAAAAATAGAAAGCATAAAGCAAGTTCAGGGTGACAAGCCAAACCATGAAATACTGTAATCAAATTACTAATTAAACTGAAAAAGTGCCTGGCATTTCAGAGACTAAGTCACCACATGGGAAAATAT